GCATCGATCCTGTATATAATGAGAAGATGCCGACGACGCAGTTTGGCGCCGTTCCTAGACGTGGGACCGACTACGCCACGCACATAGTACAGAGCATGATAGCATATGCGGAGAAGAGAGGGTGGTCAGTATGTATTATGTTCGTCGGCTTAGTCAAAGCGTTCGACAGAGTCGTGAGAGAGTTGGTGTTTGGATTCCCTGCACATATAGCACCTGAGCACGCCGCCCGCCTTGCATATCTCGAATCGCTAGGTCTGAGCAGTACAGTTGCACAGCAGATTCTGAAGCAGATCGAAGAAAAAGGCCCCCTCCTAGAGCAGTGGCAAGTAGATCCCAGCGTGACTGAACTATTGTGTTCTCTGCACTCGAGCTCCTGGTTCAGCATCGGTTCGCTCGAGAGTGTTGTTTGTCCACGGTTGGGGGGGGCGCCAGGGGTGTAAGGTAGGAGCCATGAGATTTAATGCTGTCTACTCTATCGCTTTGCATGCTATGCAATCCCGTCTGAGGGAAGAAGGCCTAGCCTTGAACTTGGAGGCCCCTGTCCAGGAGTTTTGGTCTGATCGCCTTGGGGTGTTCGACCGCGTTTGTAGCATCACTGACTGTGCCTTTGTTGATGATGAGTGTATCATGCTTGTCTGCAGCACAGCCCAGAGATTGAGAGTAATCCGAGGCGTTTGAGCGTTCTGGTTGAAACCTTCTCCTCACTCAATCTCGAAATCAATTGGTCCCGAAGCAAAACAGAAGCCCTGGTCCAGTTTCGTGGTCAAAAGTGTCAGCACATTTTAGAATCCCATCTGTTTGAGGGGGAGTTATCGTTCCCTGTGCCAGGGAGCGAGAGGCGGCTCATGGCCGTTGACAGGTATAAGCACCTTGGATCGATGCTGTCCCTTCGGACGGCGTGCGCAGTGGATGCCAGACATAAAGAGAAGTCGACTCTTGCTGCGTACTCCCCGCTCGCCTCGCGCATCTTTGGCTCGCCAGTGATTCATGATTGGGTAAAGATTCATCTGATGAATTCGCTGTTGTACACGAGGCTGCTTTTCAATGCACACATTGTCGTACCGAGCCGCCAGTATGTCAGAACTCTGAATGCCACGATGATGCGTCCTCTGAGAAAAAAAATTGGAGAGTCTCGATTTCAGAGAGTCGAGCACAAAGATGTCGAAGTCAGACTTCGTATGAGCATGCCGTCAGTCGATTGTATACTACAGCGTGCCAGGCTTGTGTACTTAAGGCGTGTGCTGATCCATGGCCCTGTGGAGTAGCATGCCCTTCTGCATGTACAGGCAAAGGGTGAGCGGCTCCCATGGACGAAGCTAATCACTGCCGACTTAGAGGCACTGCACGAGAGAGTGATTCGAAACTCGAAGTTGTTCCTCCCCGTCCCGTTAGAGGGCCCCCAGATTTGGGGCAAGTTTATTCGAGAAGCTGGATCCTTGTGGAGCCAGCTGGTCCAGAAATTATTCTATTGTGACTCTGTCGCCGACTCGTCTGCCAGCAGTCAACCTGAGGTAGGTGATGGAGGCCATGCTGCCGCCAACCCCGCTCGTCCTCATGTGTGCGATGAGTGTGTGCGTGCGTGTGTCGCCCCTCCCCCGACCTTCGCCACGCCTCAAGCCTTGCTTTCCCACAAGATGAGGAAGCATAATGTGCGATGTTTAGCGAGAAGATACGTGGGCGAAGACGCCCTGTGCCCGGTGTGTAAGACCAAGTTTGGCTCGAGGTGGCGTGCGATAGTTCATTTAACTAAGTACCCCCCTGGCGCCGACCCCCGAAAAATACCGTGCAGTAATCTTCTCGAGGCCAGTCCCCCCCTCTCACAAGAAGAAGTGGAGAGGCTTGACGTTGCAATGCGTGTTGAATGGAAGAAGGCCTACACTGATGGGCATTCCCAGACAGTCACCAGGAGACCTGCCCAGAAGCTGGTCTTGTGAGGTGAGGGTTGATGATGTGGTGTATAGTTCGACTTGAGACCCCTCTGGAACCTGGGAAGTAGGAGGAGGAGGAGGAGGAGGAGGAGGAGGAGGAGGAGGAAGAGGTGGAGGAGGAGGAGGAGGACCAATGCAATTCCAAGGCTCATCAACGATGTTGCAATAAACCCTCCCTCCAAATTCCCTCTTCAGACCTTCCTAGAAGGATGTACTTTCACTGCGGGAAGAGTTCCGTCTGACAATTTTCAACCATGCCACAGCACCATTCCTTGGACTTCATCGCCGCGAATCAACGTCACTGTTGCGACCTTACGATCCTAAATCGTGCCAGAACAAAAAAACCTTCCTGGCACGTCAAAACCGCGAATCAACGTGACTGTCGCGCCCTGAAGCAACAATTTCTGGGACGTCCAATCTAAGAATCCTTCAAACTGCTGCAAGCTTTTACAACGAATGCGCGTGGCGTTAAGGCGATACCCACATTTTGAAAACGATCCGCCCTCCATCCGCAAAACTCTTGCAAGCTTTGAAAACGAATGTGAGCGGCACTAAAGCAATAGCCACATTTTGAAAGGCATCGCCCTCCATCCGTGAAACTCTGGCAAACCATTAAAACGGATGTGCGCCGCGCTAGGGCGAGAGCCACATCTTGAAAGGTCCGCCCTCCGTCTTTGAAACTCCTGCGAACTTTTGAAAAGTGTATGTGCGCGGCGCTGCAACTAGAGTTAGGTCGGGCATATCCTCCCACAGGCGGATTTTATGTGAAAAATGAATCACAATCCACGAAATAATCGAAAAAAACAAAAATGTTCAAAAAAATCGTCCCAAAACTATGTTTGACTATTTTGACGAACGAACAACACACACCCATACCCATAGGGAGGTCGGAGGGAGAAGGACTGGCTATGGGTATGGGTGCGAGTTGTCGGACCCCAGAGGAGGCTCCCGTTCGAGCGGGGACCCCTATCCGACAACACGCACCCATAGCTCATTCCGTCTCCCCTATGGGTATCGGTGCGTGTTGATCGTTCGTCATATGTTTGATTATTCGTCCTGTAGAAGGACATGCCCGACTTAAAACTAAAGCCACATGCGTGAAAGTGCTGCAAATTGAAAGCTTCAGCACCATAAGTGGTGAGAAAGTCTCAGGCGAACGCCTGGCCCGCCTTACCGACCCGTCTCGGGGTGGGGTGCGGCCGGGAGGAATTATAAGAGGCATGGAGAAGGAGGTGGAAGAGAAGGAGGAGGAGGAGGAGGAGAAGGGAGGAAAAGCAGGAGAAGGAGGAGGAGGAGAAGGAAGAAGAAGAAGAAGAAGGAGAAGAAGAAGAAGAAGAGCCCCAGACACTCGGAGTCTGAATTGTGTCCGCGCGGTCCCTGGAAATTCCGACCCTTCCGTTTTGCGGACGGCGCTGGGACCCAGCGAGGGCCCCTGGAGCTCGAACAGCGGCTAAAAAACCCTCTGCTGCGACCTCGTTCGCGAAGCGAGCATGTCTGGGACAGTCCCTGGCTGGGCAGCGGAGCCAACGCCGAGCCTCCCTCTGGACCGCTCGGCCGAGGTGGCGAGGCCGCCGACTCCCCACTCGCCAACTCGCGAGGAGGAGGAGGAGGAGGAGGAGGAGGGAGGAGGGAGGAGGGAGGAGGGAGGAGGGAGGATGGAGGAGGTAGGAGGGCGGAGGAGGAGGGAGGAGGGAGAGAGGATGAGAGGAGGAGGAGGAGGAGGATGAGGAGGAGAGTAGGAGGAGGAGGAGGGGATGAGGAGGGAGGGAGGAGGAGGAGGAGGAGGAGGAGAGAGGAGGAGAGGAGGGGAGGGAGGAGGAGAGGGGAGGAGGACGAGGAGGAGGAGGAGGAGGAGGAGGAGGAGGAGGAAGAGGAGGAGGAGGAGGAGGAGGAAGAGGAAGGAGGAAGGAAGGAAGGGAGGGAATGAGGGAGGGAGGAAGGAAGGATAGGAGGAGGGCCAATGAGGAGGAAGGACGGAGGAGGTGGAGGGGGAAGGGAGGCGGGAGGAGTAAGGAAGGAAGGGAGGGACGGAGGAAGGAAGGAGAAAAAAAAAGGAATGAGGAGGAAAAACAGAGGAGGTGGAGGGGGAAGGGGGGAGGCGAGACCAGCGAGTCAGCTCGCCCACTCGCCCACTCGCCGACTCGAGTGCGCGCGACCGTCGGCTGCGCCTGCGCGGCAGAGTGGGGGAGCAGAGAGAGAGCCCAGCGCTGCTGAGGGACCCAGACCTCTTCGGGTCGTGGACAAATCGTGACGAAAGGCTTGTTGCCATTTTCGGCCTATGGGTGCCTTCGTCGGGCCTCGTATGACCGTCAACAAAACGGCTCGGGATGAGACGTCGGCCCCTGGAGAGGAGTCCAGACCTCAGGGGGCCCGCGTCGTGCAAAGTCATGACGTCGGGGGTCTAGGGGCACACGCGTGCACCGCTCTGACTGGACAGCGAATGTCAATGCGGTCCTGATCCCCCGCTCCCCCCGAGCCCGAGCCTTGACGTTGGGCCTACACAGCGTCACGCGCGCAAGGGGGCGCTGGAAGAGACGCACTCTTTGTCAGTGCGCGCATTCGTTTTCAGTGGTGGAGTCGGGGGCGAGAGGGGGGACATCTACGGAGCTCGTCTTGGCGCCCGAATGGTGCGAGCATGCTCCTTCAACGCGAAAACGAAGGCATGGCATCTGTGTCCACTGAGACCCGACGTTAACGGGAAATTGAGAATCGCAAAAAAGAGAAAGAACAAAGAAAAAGCCGAAGCCCTAGACTCCATCTTTCTGCGTCATCTTTCGAGCTAGATCGATCTGCGATTGTCATGGGATCCGAAACTGGGCGAAGACGTCCAGTGTGAAAAAAAATGCAACGCACGCTGCGTTCTCAGGATCTTCGGCGCTGCTGGATGGGAGGGCGATACAGGGGGGAGGGGGGGCAGAAACGCGTACCTTTCGTGTCCCTTGGGGGCCCCAGGGAGTCCCTTTAGGGCCCCTCAAGGACACAAAAGGTGCACCTGTCTTTACCCCCTATTTATCGACCCCCCATCACGCAGCGCCCGAGGGTGGTGGAGGAGCGAAAGCCGCCGTGAGGCTCCTCGGTGATCCCGACCATGTCGCGGACCATCAGCAGGGTGAAGAAGATGGGACCAGTGCCGAGCCCGAAGGTGAAGAGGCACAGGCACGCCCTGGGGAAGCAGCCCGGGTGACGCATCGGCACGACGTAGGCCTCCAGCAGAGGGAGGAAGCGGAACCCTCAGATCCTGGCGTTGCATCTTTTGCACGACGGGCGTTCTCGCCTGGCTTCGGGCCCTGGGGCCCTCACAGATCGATCTGGCTCGAGAAGTGACGCAGAAGCATGGGGTCCTCCGGTGGCAATGTTCTGCGATGTTGCAAATGTTCTGCAACGTCAGGTCTCAGGGAAGGGGCAGGAGGAGGAGGAGGAGAGGAGGAGGAGGGGGAGGAGGAGGAGGAGGAGGAGGAGGAGGAGGAGGAGGAGGAGGAGGAGGAGGAGCAGCAGCAGGAGGAGGAGGAGAGGAGGAGGAGAGGAGAAGGAGGAGGAGGAGGACAGGAAGCATGTGCAGCATTTGACGTGCCGAGGCGGGGAAAAAGGAGGAAGGACGCGCCCAGACGGCGGCCGCCGGCCCGCCCTCGACCCGGCAACCTGGGGAGCTCGGACCCGCGGCCACCGCCTCCGCCGGCACGCCAGCGGTGAGTGCTGAACCGAGGCGGAGACGGCGGAGGGGGGCTCCAAGGTCAGAGAAACTCCTTGCCCTCCTTCCCCCTCAGATAGCGGCCTCCTATAGATGGGGTCCGCGCAGATGGGGTCAGAGGATCTCGCCGCATCGCCGATGCATCGGCCATGCATCGGCCATGCATCGGCCGTGCACTGGCGACGTCGGCGATGCATCGGCGACGTCGGCGTGGAAAAAATGGGGCCACACATCGAGCCGCCGCATCGCTGATGTCGGCGGTGGACAAACCTCTCTTTAGTAAACCTCCCCTTAGTGAAAACGGCCTGGGACCCGCCAAAATGACGGCCGCGACGCCCTCTCGCGAACCGAAAACGGCCAATTCCTCAATCGACGTGTCAGGGTAAGAGGAAGAGGTCTGTCCACCCCCGATGATGCATCGCCGATGCATCGGAGATGCGGCGCGATCCTCCGACCTCATCCGGGAGGCCTGGGTCAAACCACGGGGCGGGGAGTCGTCGTTGCGGCGGCTGGGGGAGCAGCCCCTGGTGGTGCCAAATGGCCCAGGCGAGGACGCAAGGAAGTCTCAAACAAAAAATACCCAGAAATCATAAAAAATAGTCCTCAGGCCAAATTCTGATTATTTTGAATATATTTCCCCTGTAGAGGGACACGCCCGGCGTAAGGCTGGCGGCCTTGAGCAAGTTCAGCGACACACGGGGCTGTCCCTCCCGCGGCTCCTCAGGCGACGAGCGAGCAGCAGCAGCAGCAGCAGCAGCAGCAGCAGCAGCAGCAGCAGCTAGCCTCGGCCACGAACAAGTTCCCCGGCCTAGATCTGGGGAACTGCCCTGAAAACAGAGCCCCTCCTGATACCAAAGTGGTCCCTGTGTCAGCGTCTTAACTGCATCGCCTTACATTCCCCAATCAGTGCTTGCACTGAAGGGGTCCTAGCGGAGGTTGAAGGATTTGGCAAAAAATTCCCGCCGGTTTGGGTCGCACGCTGGGCTCCCGGGTTCCCAATTCCGGGTTCCCGGGTTCCCGGTTCCCGGGCCGATTTCGGTGGGCGGCGAGGTTCCCAGGTTCCCCGGTTCCTGGTCGATCTTCTTGTCGATCGGCCTAAGCATCGATCTCGTTTCCCACCTCTCTATCGATCTCACCATCGATCTCACAATCGATCTCACAATCGATCTCGCAAGCGATCTCACTAGAGATCGCACGAGCGATCGAGCCATCGATCTCCCGATCGATCTCATTGAATCGATATCACTCTCGGTCTCACGATCGACCTTACAATCATCCTCTATCTATACCACTGTCGATCTCATTATCGATCTCACAATCGATCTCAAGATCCATATGACGAATTTTCAAATCAACCACGAATTGAGGTTTTCTCAAGTGAGATACGATTGGTCTGCACGTCGTCTGACTTCGACTGACGCCTGGGGAGTTCCTCAAGCACGAGTGGCCTGGCTCGTCTACCCCCGCGCTCAAACCCAGAAAGCTGGCCTTCTTCCACTCCGCGGCGGGCCTTTCCTGGACAGCCACGGGTCCATCCGTGAAGTCTCGGAAGCCCACCGGGGCGGGACGTGTGACGACGTCCCACAAATACTCCAGATTTCGTAATAAAGGGAGGGGGGTCTCATTTCGGGGGGGGGTCTCTTCCAGGCTATCTTGGAGGGCCTGGGGGGGTCTGGGGACGATGTTTTGGAGGGTTTTCCCACGGGGGGGGGTCTAAAACTTCTCGTCTGGGAGTGTCCAGACCCCCTCCCTTTTATTACGAAATCTGGAGTACGCAGAACCAAACAATACGCCGACCCTGTCGGCGTGTGGGGGACGCTGTTCCGTGTGACTCCTCGTCGTCGTCGTCGTCGACGTCGTCGTCGTCGCCGTCGCGGTCGCCGTCGCCGTCGCGGTCGCCGTCGCCGTCGCCGTGGCCGTCGCCGTCGCCGTCGCCGTCGCCGTCGCCGTCGCCGTCGC